TACCTTACGTTTTATATGTTCGAGGTTAAATTTTTATAAAATCTTAAAGAGCAAAAGGCGTTATGTAAATATTTCTGTTTTACAGACGTCGACGTAATTACCTTATAAAATTACTCCACGCATAGCAAGAGCGTAATTCATCCGACCACAATTTCAAATTCATTTCAAATTTTTTTGTATGCTTATTTTTTACTTTATAAATGTAGAAGTGAAAAGGCAGCAATAAGTACCACATTTTTATTTGATGTTTTTTTTTAACGTCGAATATTGTCTTGTGCTAAATTGTTGGTGGAAGACCTTCGGTCACTTTTGTCACCATTGCCATGTAATGATGAAAATATGTTTTGATAAATTTATTACCTCTCAGACGTAACAGGGACGGGATAAAGATAATTTCCCTTTTTACAGTTACGTAGCAATTTCAATATCCCAGTACCATTTATGAGCAAATTCTGAAGTGTTTTAAATTTTACAAGATTTTAAATTAACCATTTGTAACCCAAGAAACGTCGTTTTAAAATTTTTAACGATAAAACATGTATTTTGGGAAATTTGCTTAAGTCACGTTTAAACCTTAAAAAAAAAAGTTTTTGTATTTTCTTGTTTTATTTATAATTAAAACTTTTAAAAATCTCTTTATTGTCCATTTTATTTCATTTTTTGTTTAAAAATTGGCAAATATTAATTTATGGTGAAAAACATAATGAAGCAATTAAACAGAACTTAAAACTTCCCCAAATTTTTTAAAATAGTTTGCTATGTAACACAACCCCACTTGCATTTTAATTTGGAAACAACCGTTTATAAGCACAAAATTTGCTTTCTTACAATTTAAATGATGTAAAAATATTTTTTTTCATGGATTGAAAATTTTTCATTTTTTTCAAGTTTTTAAATGGTTTGGGAAGGTATTCCTGCAAGTGATGTATTTAGGAAAACAATTTCACATAAGGGCTTCATATAACAACAATCAGGTCAGTTTGTAAGTTCATATTCTGTATTTGTCATTATTCCTTTTAGTGTATGTTTTTGAATATGAATGATAATACCGATTGATACTTTAAACAACATTAACTGCTCCCCAGTGATATAACAATTGTATTACTCTAACATGAAGGATGTCTGCATCATTGCTTATATTAAAAGTTGTGATTTATTTATACGTGCTCAAATAGTGTGACATAATAAAACTTGGAAAAGATTACAAAATTACGGCTACATACAAACACTAAATTAGTTTCCTTAGAATGAAAGGGGAAATGTATTCTATATATATTACAGACATGATTTAATTTAGTACAAAAATTGCCACAGACAGAATTCTAATCACACGATTTCAATGCTATTACAACTACAACTGAAGTAAAACAAAAACTTCATCACATTCTCCATAATATTAGGCAAGCTAGATGTATTGTAAATTGAATTTTGTTGTTAACTAGTGGAAATTTTTTCCCAACGACAAGGCTTTTAAAGAAAAATATCATAAAACCAAAATTTTAAGAGAAAGACATACAGAAGGGAACATTTGAAGGATACGGGGACCGGTCAAACATTAAGTTAAAAGCTTGTACAAAACAAGAAACAAACTTTATAAATATTTTTTAAATATATTCAAAATCAGAGATACAAAAAAACCCCTAAAAAAAATTTTTTTACATAATAAGCTGGTGAGAAAATTTTTAAATGAGAAAACCCGTTGGGAAATATCGTTAATGAAGGGTAAAGGGTTCAATCAATGGGGGTAATTTAAAAACCTCCTGTACCAAATTTGTCCCCATTTGGGGGTTTTAAAAAAATAATTCCCAATACGACGGGGTTTACAAACAAATTTCAAAAAATTGGGTTTATGAAAGGGAGATTTTTCAACAACATTTTTAATTTGGTTTTAAAAACCCTTAAATGATAAGCAATGGTACATTAATGACCGCCGCCACGAAAAAGGGGCACTCGGGCATATATAAACGTAACGTCAAAAACTTGGGGAAAAAGGGAAAAGGGGCTAATGACAGCGATTTTTCGTCCCCATACTTTTTTTCGGTGCCCCGGAGTTTAAAATAAAGAAATTAGCTTTTTATATGAAATTTTTTAAAGAAATGGACAAATTTTAAAGGAAAAAAAACCAAACATAATGTTATATTTTTTTTTAAATCTCTGATGTCTAGTCTTTTTTTTCCCTTTTTATAATATTGGGTTTTTTAAACACGTCTCCCTGTTCGCTAGGGAATTGCAGTTTTAAATCCCGGTCAAACGAATTTTTTTCCAGCAATACTATCATTTTTAGTGATTTTAAATGATATTAAAACTTGAAATTTTTCTATTTTTTTTTTTTCATATTTGTTTATTTAAATTGAATTTTATTATCGCTGAAACCGATTTTTTTTTCTTTTAAAAAGGCATTTTTTACAAAAATGCTTGGGCGACGAGATTCTCTCCCCTTTTTGCTATTTTAGCAATTATTTTTTTAATTAATGAATATTAAATCGTAAATTTGACATCAGGGGCGCTTCGCGTGTGCGACGTTCGAGGTTAAAACCCTCTTTTTTTTTTTTTTTTCCTTTTTTTTACTTTTAATTTTCCCTTTCAGTATCATAGTGAACATATCTTTTTCTTATTTTTTTAAAGGAAATTTAAAAAGGGAATTGGGTTTGAATCTTTTGGGGGATACCTCCCGGGAGCGAGTCCTACATCCCAGAGGTTGGATATTTGATGATCTGACCCCAGGAGTTTGAAATCAGTACAGTGACGAAGAACAGTCTGACACAAAAACAGGTAGTGAATAAAAGGGGTTTGAAAAAAGTGGTAAAAAATTTAAATTAAAACGTAGATCCCAAAGGGAATCAGACTCAGACAGAGACACTGAGACCCCATTAGGGTAACAGAGCCAGTAATATTTTTTTCGTGTAAATTGATTCCCTTTTTACAGTTTGACAAAGCTAGTGTTGAAAAGCCCATATACTCTCTATGAGAGAGATTGACAGAAATAAAGGGCCAGAGATTTTCCATTACGGGAGGGGTACATCAAATTGCAAACTGACGAAACTTTTAAAGGGGAAAAACGCGGGAAAACGGCTCGTTTTAGATACACTTTTCAGGGTTTAAACCTATCTGTAAAAAAGGGCATTTATGTAGGGTCAAGATATGGGATAAAAAAGCTCTCCGAAACCATTTTGATAAACTTTAAAACCCAAAATGGCGCAATACCACAACCCACGGTAACACAGAAGAAAAACCACAGCATCCCCTGGGTTTACAATGAGATACGGTTTTGTGTAGACTGGTTTTGTAGGGTTTAAAACAGTTTATCAAGGGCCCTTACCTACCCAGCAGCACCCAGGGGGGGTGAGGGGGGAACCCCTATTCTTCCCCCGTCAAACCTAAAAAAAGTTTCCCTACACAGTCAATTTTGTAAACCCATGTGGGGAAAGACGGGATGAAAACGGAAGCTTGGAGTGTCATCATTTAAAAATGAAGGGAAAAAATTTGAAATTCCCACATTAAAATTAATGTCCCCAAAAAAGATACGTGTGCCAAAAAATGTGAGTTTTTCGACAAAAATTTGTTATTGTTTGCTTGACGGAGCAAGCAAAAACTTGAGGGCACAAAATTTCGTTTTTAGTGAAAATTTCCCAATTTATGTTTTACCATACTTTTTTAAAGATGCTAAAACAGAACGTCAGGCGTACATGACGGGGCGGAAAATTTAAAAGCGAATGAAGAGATGGTGGGTTTTACACACGACCGCCCAATACCCTTTCGAAACCTTTTTCCCCCAAGATTTTCCAGAAAGGGTATGCCTTGACAGTTAGGGGTAAAAAAGCTATGAAGATTTTTTACGGGTTATATGCCCGTTGTATATAAAAACCAGCCGTAAGGCAATTCAAATTCCCTTTACTTTAAAGGAAAAGGAATATTTATTACAAATTTTAAATAAGGGGAAAATTTTTCTTTTTTAAACGTAATATGAAATAAATTTATGATCGATTGCAGCAGGGGTATACAGATAATTTTAAAACGTCACGATTCCGTGAAAAAAATGATTTTTAAAAAATAAACTTTCCCAATTTACAATTTTTCAGTGCAAAAAACCCAATTTTTGAGAGTGCAATAGTCTGAAGGCCCCCCTGTCTATATTTTGAAAATTTCCCAAAAAAATTTGATTTAACAAAAAATTTGTAGGGTTTTTAAATTAAAAAATTTTAAAAAACTTAAGGCAATTTTGTCAAATGTTTTGTGATTCTTTTTGGAAAAAAAAAAGGTTTACATGTAAATGTAACTTATATTTTCCAGAATATTAGTAAATAAATCATCATTTTAAATTTGTCAAAAATTTCATTTTATAAATAAAAATTTCTAGAATTTTATTATAAATATTTTGGTCAATTTTTTAGGTCCATATCACTTTTGACTACAGTAAAAGTGTGGGCAATCCCTCATCACAGCCCACAGAAAGGGACCAAAATTTCTTTGTGAAAAGGCAGAAAAAAAAAAATATGTTTTGTGTCCGATTGGGCTCTCAAGTTTAGCAGTTCAACTACTTAATAGATAATTGATAATATACTTTTCAGGACATACATGATTCAGACGGCAGCTCAACGATACTAATATAAGACTTTTTTTCCCCAAAAAACGTTTACAAAATAATTACTTCAAACCCTGGTAGTTTTCCACGGCTATTTCATATAAATAGTTATACTTTCATTAATATTCCCACATGAAGGGTTAAACCAGCAGAGACCGTTGCAGAATCAATGTGCGTAATTTGCCTATCTAACATCATGGACAATACACAAATAATCAGTATTTTCTCTTATCCAGTTGACAAAAATAAGCATAAATGGTACACACAAAACAATCCTCATGTGTACGTTTATAGCAAATTTGAGTATAAAAGACTTTTGAAAAACATCAGCGTCAAATGCAAAGGCCATATTAACGATTGTAGTACAAACATGATCTGTCTTTTTCCCTGTGAGATCAACGGAACCGACAGTTTACTGCACATAACTTAGTCTATTAATATAAATAAGTGGAATTAGAAATTGACCTAAATCGTTCTCGAAATTTTAATGACAGAGCAAAGAATGAGATTAAAGTAGCTTGCATTTCTTATTGTACGATGTATGCAAAACATACGCAAAATATATCAATATATATAATTTTACCATTGAGTACGTCTAAAGTGTCATAATCTGGATCATCTTGTGCAGCTCGAGACTTTGGCGTTGAGTAGTGATTTTTATTGTTCTCACTGTAATCAAAATATATATCTTTAGCAAGCAAGGAACAAAAACAACAAAACAATATTACAAATAATAACGCACAATACCATTAAAACATTCGTAACGTGACCTATCTTTTTGAATAGTATTTCATAAAGGTACTTATCTCAAGACTTTATTAAGTATACATTGAATTGATTCTACCTTTAAACATATTATATAACTGTATTCAAATAGCAGTAAAGGAAAGACGAATTGACTGTAGATAGAGAACTGATATTGCATTCTTTATTTATCGGTGTTTGTAACAAAGACAGACATAACTTTATAAAAAAATAAAGATTAATTCAAAATAACATAGAATCTATTAAAGCTATTGGCAGTCAAGTATATGTCATTTTGATTTATCTTTTTAAACCTTTTTCTCTTTCTAAATATCAAAACAACAACAATTAAGGCGCTAAGTATCAGGACAATTATTGATCCACTGATAACACCTGCTACGAGAGCTGTTGAATTCTTCTTCTTTTCTCCCTGGTGGGTTTCACCAACTGTATACAAACAATAGAGGATTCGAAAAATATTTCAATGACTGAAAATCGGATGAAAATATAAGACTTGGTGTTCATTAAATAAATAAAATTGGATGTTACATGCTAAACAAACACATTTTTATTTAATATATCACCCTTTTTAGTTGCTGACAATGATTTGTTAAGTGCTGATTTTTTTGCCATGTTACGATATGCGCTACAAATAAAGACAAAAATATTGCCAACATGATGTTGTAAAGTTTCTTACTTGTGTTCCATTCTTAAAATAATTCATGCAGATATTCACGTCATCAAGCACGTTTTACTCACAAAATAGTATTTTTGACAATATTCCCACTTAAGATTAAAAAGGTCTTACACCGGCTGCTGTTACAAACATTGAGACCTTGACCTTGAGTGAGCACAAAAATTCACAAACATCTGTACATTTTAACAAAAGTGAAAAAGGCCCTTCATGAACATTTTTGTATAGCTGATATAAACTAGTATGACGTTTCACTTTCAAGGGTGGCATTGACTTTGATACATCACACCGGCATTTGATCCAAATGTTTACAGCAGTCACGAGATTCTCTAAATTTCACTTTCAAATGTAACCTTCAGTAGGAACATCTTCACAATGCATATTTAAAGTAAACATTTGCGCAGAGCATGATGAATAACATTTAGAAAGGTACAGGGCTTATAAAGTAGACATGAAACTATTTATCATTTAACTTCAGCAAGCACAATGCTAGCATTGATGCTGACCATTTCCTTGTTGATGTGAACATCTGAGGGAAGTTTAAAGAAAGTCCAGCAAGGGGTATTTAATTTAAATAGCAGACGTAAGTAACTAGGATATTACATCAACTCACCTTGATTACAATGGAAACCAGTGTATCCGTCTTGGCAACCGTTTTCACATATCCCATAGTCGTTAGTACATGTACCATCTGCACAAAAACAGCTCTCACTACACTTGTCTCCAAAAGTGTTCTTTGGGCATTCTTAGTAAAAACAAATGTCAGTCTCAACTTATGACGCATTATGAACAAACATATACATATTATGCCGTAATTTCAGCATAAGTTTAAATAAAATATAGAATGAATGATAAACAAGGGCGCCTTATTACAAATTTAAAAGTAAACATTTTTACATAAAGATGTTTTTTTCAAATCTTAAGATTTCAAGATTGTATACGGAAATATTGAAGGCTGAAGTGTACAGGGTAGGTAATCACGTGATATTTATTTACCGTAACATTCGGTCACTGCTACTTGTAACAGCTATCTGTTCGTTATTTCTTTCAATACTTGACAAATAAACATATTCCAGTAAATATTTGCCTATTCCAATCTTATAAAACTTGTCGTAACTATTTTTACTTTTGCTGTTATAGTAGATTGTTTTCTTTGCGGCAATACTGTGATTAAAATATATGTCACAATTCCTGTAAGCATATCGGAATACACGCTATACTGGAAATATATGTACTATTGATATCATCATCTCAAAAAGGTCTGCGATAATTTGAATCTCGGCTTGTTGATCATACATTTATATATCTTTAAGGTTAAAGTAGCAAAATATATTTTAAGAAATATCAAACATATTTTGAGCATGTAACACAACGTGTCATTTGTAAGCTTACTTTTGTTACACGATGTACCAATCCAACCAACTTTACATGCATCTGACTGACAATATCCATTTCTTTTATCACATGCACGTTTATCGGCACAGTGACAAATTTGGGAGCATTCCTCGCCAAATGTTCCTACCTCACATTCTGTAAAACTCGTATAATTTGTTCTGCCATAAATCAAATTTTACATTTAGCAAACAAATTGCCTCTAAAATCTATGAAACATCTTGTATTTATTGAAGAACACAACTATGATTTGCGATTCGTAAACTAGCTAGCATTAATTCAAATAATACCGACACAATAAATAGAAATGTACATTGATCCGAGTTGAGAATAAAAGTGCTCACCCCCTTCAGTCACCAAAACTTCACACAAAGTCAGGATGCCTGGTCTCTCGATCTTAATATATCTTGTTAGCTGATTTGAAAAAGTTAGCACATGTTCATTTCCATCTATCCGCCTCGTTGTATTTTCAACCAGTTGATATGAACTTTGTCCAGTATTATTAGAAAAATAAAGCTTGAAATCTGTAAGTTGTTTATATTTTCCCTCTAAAACATACAGATAAGTAAATATTAACCATTTAGAAAAATTTAATAAAAAAAGCATACTACTTGAAATAACGAACTTAATATCCCAAAGTCAGAAACAAAAAAGGAAAAGGCAAATATGATAAAAACAGTGCCGTTTGACTTAGCCTGTACAGAAATTGTAAGCACCAGCTTCCGTTCTACTCGCCTCATCCCACCACACCTATCCACTAGTTTCGGCTTCAGCAGAAATTAACACGTTGAGTTTAAATGAAAACAGAGTTTTGCGTTATATTTACAAATAGGTAAACATTTCTTACAATATAAGCGGACAAAACAGATTAATACTAACCTTTGTCTCTACTGTACACAGTAACGCTACTGATAGGATACCGTTGTCCTAAATCTACCGTCCACCAAGACAATTGGGAATTCTTTGTTCCGCTACAGCAATTGCAAACCTCAGATATTGGACCAATTTTTCCATCGATTGCGCGATTTGAAGTCCAATTTAGTAATGTTGATGACATAGCTGTTTGCACACCCATGCGCCTCAAAATGTTTACATCTATTTATATACAACAACAAAATATCTAATTATAAAATACATAAAATGAAAATATTAATATTTTTAAAATATCTGTGACTAGTGCGTTTAAGTCATCTCAATTAAAATGGAAAATTGCAAACATAATGCTGCGACTAACAAAGTTATACCCGATTTTTCAAATGTCCCGGAGTTCTTATGATTACTCAAAATATGTCCTGGAGTTCTTGTTATAACTTTTGTTACTGCCAATGTGTTTCTTGTGCTAAATCATGGTACGTTTTAGCGTTTTTTATTATTCAAGAAGGTTGTAAATACCTATGAAATATAATACGCTCATCCTTTGCACAAAAATGTGTGGATAAATTGCTGATCTTGATCGAGTGTCTGGAAAGGATAAACAGGTGATAGGCTATCATCTACAGTAAAGATTGAATCAGCGGCAGTATCATGGCCTAAACCACAAATTAAACAAAAATGTCTCAAAACCTACACGTTGTTCTCAACCATCTTTCTTAAGCAGATAATATATAGTGTGCATCGCTTATCTAAGGGCTAAGTAATTTGTATCATTTTATAACCATAATAAGGAAATATATGTATAAAACCAGGATACTTTCTTCAAACCTATGTTTCCAGGAAGTACGACAATATGATAAAAACTCAACTGCGGTTGGCTCTATAACTACCGATCTCTCGAACAAAGTTGTAAGTCCATCTGGGTTCAAACGAAATAATTTTGACTAAAATATATTTTGTTATCAATTTCAGCAATATTAACACAGTTTCCTCCACTAAGATTACATTGGGGAAATACCCACCAAACACCGGCAGAAAAATATACATGAAAACACCATACTTGAGCGCATTTTATTATGAAAGTCAATGCTCTACATCAATCCTTTTTCCAGTCAACGAAATTTGCGTCAGAAAAAGATACCAATAAGATATCTCAGTATTATCACTAAAATACACTCAAAACCAACATTATATATCATCATTTTTGTGCAAAAAAATGAACGTATTACATTTATAATGATTTACAACCTTACTGAATAATAAAAAACGCTAAAACGTGTCGTGATTTAGCTCAATAAACACATTGGCAGTAACATAGTTATCATAAGAACTCCAGGACATATTTTGAGTTATCACAAGAACTCCGGGACATTTGAAAAATCGGGAAGAATTTTATTTGCCGGGCTTTATGTTTGCAATTTTGCAATTATGTATGGCAAGGATGAAGACTTGAAATAAACAGGCCAATACTTGCAAAATGGCAAATGATTTGAAAATTATACTCAAAATCTACAAGATTTTATGTACGAGGCGATGAAAAACGGACTATGAATTAGTATTTGACACATAATACAATATGTAAGGCAAGCTTAATCATAAAAGATTGATTTAGCACATAAAATTCGCTTTTAAAAGATGAAACTTACCATTTTTGACGAGTGTTTTTGCAGTATATACAATTGTTTTCCGACGAACTCCGTGAATGTTATCACAAGAACTCCATAACAAGTTATCTTAAGAACTCCATCCCTCGTGTAACACTTCCTCCCCCATGTATTTCATCACTGCGATGTGTTTCAAGTAAAAGTCACGCTAAAAGTATGTATCGTATATAACACTTCATATTGTTCAACATGTTTAGCGGAGATACAACGGGAGTGTATAGATAACAGTATATTGCTGCCCTATTAAAGCTGTTAACAGGATACCCGCGAAATAAAAAAAGTACTATCAACAAAGAGGATTACTTTAAATATTTTCTCTATTGCAAGTGGAAACTATAACTTTCAAGTGGCAGACATAATTTACTCTGTAAAATATACTCTTACTTTTAACTGAATTTATGAAAGTGCACGTGAGAAGTGGTACAAAATATTTGAAATAAAGGGATATCAGACTAAAAATTATATTTACCCTACTTTTTATATGTTCGAGGTTAAAGGCGTTATGTAAATATTTCTGTTTTACAGACGTCGACGTAATTACCTTATAAAATTACTCCACGCATTGCAAGAATCGTAATTCATCCGACTACAATTTCAAATTCATTTCAAATTTATTTGTATGCTTAATATTTACTTTATAAATGTAGAAGTGAAAAGGCAGCAATAAGTACAACATTTTTATTTGATGTTTATTCTTTTTTTAATGTCGAATATTGTCTTGTGTTAAATTGTTGGTGGAAGACCTTTGGTCCCTTTTGTCACCATTGCCATGTAATGATGAAAATATGTTTTGGTAAATTATTACTTTTCAGACGTACACGGACGCGATGCAGATAACTTCCTTTACAGTTACGTAGCATACTTTTCAATATACCAGTACTCAGTATGAGCTATTCTGAAGTGATTTAAATGTACAAGATATTGATGTAACCATTTGTATAGCAACACGTATGTTTTCAATTTTAACGATATAAACATGTATGTTGGAATGCTTGAGTCACGCTTAACTTAACAAAACAAGTTTTTGTATATATCTTGTCTTACTTATAAATGAACTTTTTAAAAACAATCTCTATTATTGTCCATTTTATTTCATTTTTTTTTAAATGGCATATATTAAGTATGGTGTAACATAATGAAGCAATTGATAGAACTTCACTTCCCCAAATAATAAATAGATGCTATGTAACACAATCCCAACTGCACTGTATTTGGCACAACCTGTACAGTGTATGGGACTGTTTTATAAGCACATATTTGTTTCTTACAACTTTGAATGCATGTGAAAAATATCCTTTTTTCATGGATTGAAATTGTAATATTTTCAAGATTTTAAATGGCTTGTAAAGGTATTTTGCAACTGATGTCTAAGAAAACAATTTCACATAAGGGCTTCAATATAACAACAATCAGGTCAGTTGTAAGTTCATATTCTGTATTGTCTTATTCTTTTAGTGTATGTTTTTGAATGAATGATATACCGATTGTACTTTAACAACATAACTGCTCAGTGATATAACAATTATACTCTAACATGAAGGATGTCTACATCATTGCTTATATTAAAAGTTGTGATTTATTTATACGTGCTCAAATATGTACATAATAAACTTGAAAAGATTACAAAATTACGGTACATCAAACACTAATTAGTTTTCTTAGAATGAAAGGGGAAATGTATGATCTATATATATTACAGACATGATTAATTTAGTACAAAAATGCCACAGACAGAATTCTAATCACACGATTCAATGCTATTACAACTACAACTGAAGTAAAACAAAAAAATCATCACATTCTCCATAATATTGGGCAAGCTAGATGTATTTTAAATGATTTTGTGTTAACAGTGGCACTTTCACCTACGACAAGGCTATTAAAGACAAATATCATAAAACCACAATTAAGTGAAAGACATACAGAATGGCACAGAAGGAAACTGGTTGGTCGAAACACTTAAGTTCAAAGCTTGTACTAAACAAGAAACAACATATAAATATTTCTAAATATATTCGAAATCAGAGATACAAAATAAACTCTAAATAATTTTTTTACATATAACGCGTGGTGAGACATATTTGATGAGATAACCGTTAGCAATATCGTTAATGAATGTAAATGTTCAATCAATGTGTAACTTAAACCTCCTGTACCAAATATTGTACCCATTTGGTGATTAAAAATAATTACAATACGACGTGTTACGAACTAATTCAAAAATTCAGGGTTCATGTAAGAGATATTCAACAACAGTTTATTTAGTGTTATAACACTTAAATGATAAGCAATGGTACATTATATCGAACGCTGTCTCTAACATTCGTTTATAAATCCTTTTTTTTACGATCCAAACTTTCATGTACAAAATAATTATCATCCGTTTTCGAGTCAAGTGCATCACATGCTAGAAACAACTTCATTTTCATACGCTGTACTTCTTTGGCCCTGGTTATCTGCAAGTAGATAGGAAAAGTGTTAACACTATATAAAACTAAACTCTATTTTAAAATAACTCAAATTTGAATAGTTATGCTTAGCATATAGTTGCAATGATACGGAGAGATTGGTTGCGCTCAGCATAATTCTTGACATGTGTCGTAACAATACATCCATTATAAAAACATCATTAAGTGTAGATTGCAGACTTTTAGAGACGGTGTATATTTTATAAATTAAAGACAAGATACAACCTTAAAAGCAGAATCTGCAAATACAGTGGAAATATGCAGAGCAAAAATCATTTCTGACAGTTATTGCTCAAAGTTAAAATCTTTGCGACGCCGTACTTTGTGCGACTGTTATTGAACATATGCCATTTACTTTTCATGAGACCCTTCAGATGTTGTATTAGTTGTAGGGTAGACAAGCTTTTATGTTGATACTTTACGATAATTACAACGGATATGCTTCCAAGGCAATTTGCAGATAGCATACTTTGTTGTCAATATTGTATATACTGCCAACGATTTGATTCCTATGTACTTTACGATGACAGTTTAGTTTTGTGGTCCTTCAGGAGCGAGTTCATCACGTTAGTGCTTAAGATTAAATACAGCTTAAACCGGTGTTATTGGGCTTTGGGAGATGTTGCACATTTACATTATCTCCCATGAATAAATTTTATCAAACCTAGTCACCAATATGTATATAATAATATTATTTTTTTTATTTATTTTTCATTGCTTCCAAGAGCGCTCCTTCCCCGATTTTTCAATTATATAAAAATGCGTCAGTCTTGTTGCTTTCTATATAAAGCTTTTGATTTAGTTTGCTATTGATAATCGGTTTAACGACCTTATTGTTATACAAGCGACCTGTTCAGACAAGAAATATAGGACCAATATATATAGAACATTTATCTATTACAGTTGTATTGACAAGAAAGGTATACTCATTATATATAGGAGAACAATTAAAAGCACTTAATAACGATGATAATAATTTGTTTTAAAGATTATATGTAATATGATAATTGATAATGTACTTTTCAGGACATAAACGTTTCAGACGGGAGCTCAACGATACTAATATAAGA